CAGCCCCCGGTTTTCCGCACCGCCGTCTCTCCAGCCGGCTGAAGTGGTGTGATGACACCCCGGGGCTCAGGCACCATCGCCCCGCTTCTCTGTCCGGGGCAAGCTGAGGCTCCGTGGGGTAATGAGGGGCTTTCTTTTTTGTCTCTCTTAGTAGGATTTAAATGAGCATGAGAAAAGCTTCACGGCTGATAAAATCTAAGACGTAGGCAAGTGGACAGAAGATACGTACGCACCGTTTCCACTCGCTAACGCAGAAGTGCTCTGTAGGCTAGGTGCAGCGCGTGAGCAGACGTGCTTTAATCGCTGAGTACAGCTCTTGCTTGAAAGGAGTCGTGTTTTTCTGGTGTGGGTAGAAAAGGAACGTTGGCTGTTGGAAGGGAACTGGCTAAAACATCGCGGTGGGCCATGGCTAGATTTTCTGTCGATCGCCTCCAAATGTTGTGAGCTGTTAAATTCCATTTGGAGGATCCTGCCAGTCTCTATTTGTCCTGAAACTTTTCACAGCGTCTTGTCAGAATAAGGCATTGCTTTTTTGTTAACGTTTATTGAATTTTAAAAGTCACCCGATTGTGAGCGTAGGTGTCTCTCTGCCAGGGTTGATTAGACTTCGCTGTCAGCTTGGTTTTGTGACGCGCTGTTTGTCCCTTTGCCCTCTCCGTCGGTCTTACTGGTTAGGCGAGGGTAGGCCTTGCTGGTAAATCTCACAGCTTGTATTTAAGTGTGAGGACAAAACTCTTGATAATACTCCTGCTAAATACATAGACGGGCTGGAGAAAGTGGCTCGGGAGCTGAAGGTTGTAACCTAGAAATATCGGTCGTTTATTTTTGTTTAAACACCTCGTGTTGGGCTTGTGCCAGCAGAGCACATCTGGCAGTGAACGCACTGAACTGTGGTAGGGAGCTTTTGTTGATTCAGGTCTAGTTAATTGCTAGTTAATGAACTTGTTTTGGGGGTCCGAGTTCATTTGGTTTCACTTACAGTTTGCAGACCGAGCTACTGGAGGTACCGTAGCATACGCTGCAAAAGGAGCGATTCAAACAGCCTGAGAAACAACAAACGTTGACATTTGTGCTGTTCCAGCTGCAGAGGAATTTGCTGATCCCTGTGTTCAGAGCTGTCTGTAAGCGCACAGTAAAAAAGCCTCCCTTAAATAGGAGAGTTGAGAGGAGTAAGTTGCTCACTGCTCGAGTGTGGCTACTGTAATAATTTACCCCAGTAGCGTACTGGTGGAAAGTAAAACAGTAAGGGGAATTTTCAAAGGCAGAGGCAATTGATCTGATTTTCTGTGTTCAACACAGGAGTTCCCATGTGCCGGTAACCAACTTTGAGAAGAATTTGGATGGTGTAGAAATGTTCTTGAAATCAAACATTGTGTAAATTGCGTAGATCCAGTTATTTCACAATTGCAAATCTAAAGAGTCCTGTGCAGAAGAGGCAGCAGCAACTTCTCTGAGTCTGTTTCTAGGTCTTGGTGTTTGCTGCTTCCTTATCTTGCTGGGCAGGCAGGGGCAGCGTTGAGTGGATCGCTGGCGTTGCCGCCTTGTGCTTGGGCCTTATCGAGTTTTTCTGCGGTGGCTGGAGGAGCGATCCCAGATGTCTTATCAGAGCAAACCCACGTGGCTGGCATCCTCTCCTCTTTTGGGGAATCCATTGACTTTGCTTAAGGGCCTGTGCCAATTCGAACGTAGCAGTAGTGAAGGGAAGTAGCATTCTTTTTAGAAGGTCTTAAATTTCTTCCACGCCGAGCCTGGCTTTGCCAGCGCGGGGTTTTGAGCGGTTGTGTTTGCCCATGGTGGCTGTTCCGCCTCCGCTGTGGTTGGGGTTACATACGGAGTGTCTGTCGCTTCCTCTTTTGACTCGGCGGTGCTGCGTGGTGCTACTTCTTCTCAGGCACTGAAAAGTGAAGTAATTTCCTTTCAGGATTGTAAGTGTTCTGGGCTGCTGCTCGCTAGGACAGTATGGTTGTGGAGTATAAATTCTTCACTAACACCGGGAATTGTGAGGAAAAGCGACTGTCACAAACTCCTGAGGAATCCTGCTTCTGCACACACGGGCTGTTTATTCCAGCCTATTCAGTCTTCAGTGTTAAAGGCTACGAGGGTGGCAGTAGCTTTCTGTAATGAGCGTTGAGCGTGGGAGTGTAAAGTTCTGGTATTGTGTGTTGCAGAATGACCCTCTTGTGCCTCCTTGACCTCTGTGTGGTGTGAACCCCAGACTATGTTAGTAACAGCTTTCCATTCAGCCCTTCCTAAGTGACAGTAACACTCTGATTAGCCCGTGCTGCAATTCCCTCCTTGTTTCTTTCATTAGGACAGTTTGGCCCCTTGAGGGGGGTGGGGGAAGGCCCCCAAAACATGCAGCTGTTTAAAAACTAGTGTTTGAGTGCTGCTCTTCTGGGAAGGCTGGTGGTTTTGCTTTCACTTCACCCAGAACTACATCAGATATTATCTCGTGCTTTGTCTATACTGGGGATTAATAAGTGTTACCCAAATCTTTTCGAAAGCCAAGTTCCAAACAGGCTCAGACTTAACAATTTGCCTCACTAGTCTGGTGAAGGCAAATATCAGTGGTTTGGGGTCTTTTTGGCTCTGAAGTCGTGGCATGCGTTTGGGACGATGGGCTGCAGGACTCTTCTCTTCCCAGCCCGTCACTCTGAAGGCACTCTTTGCGGCTTTTATGTACCGCTTTCTTTTCTCATTCAGTATTTCTTCTCCCGTAGGACTATATTTGCCCACGGTGTGAATCTGGTTTTATTGAAGAACTTCCTGAAGAGCCAAGGTAATGTGCTGCCCCAAAGGCTATTGCTGGAATGAACTCCGTCTGCTTTGCTCTTTTCCTTTTTCTAGTTAAAAGGCAATGTTGGATACTAAATACACCATTTTTATACTTCTGCCCTGTATTTGGCTCATCTTTCCTCAATATGGGTAGAGAGTGCTTAATTTGCATAGTTTGCATCTACAGGTAAATCAGCCATGGGAATACTGTGTGGCATATCTTGCTGGTAAAGGGTGGGGGAGGAACAGGCTGATTTAAAACAAACAAAAAAAAGTGGTAGAGAGGCTTTCCCCATGGCATGTGGTAGCTCTGAACTGGTTTGAGTCATCAGGGTAGAGATCACCCTGCGAGAGAGGAATCTGCGGAATGGAGAGCGTATGTATGCTTCAGTGTATAATTTAATAACTTCGTTTAGAGTACTAACGGCGGAACATTTTGACTAAGACTTTGGACTCTGCACTGGAGCAGCTGAGGTCTGCGTTCACGTGCTTTACTGCTGACTCAGTAGTGGGACTGCTCTCTGGCAGTGTCAGAACGGGCAAGAGTAGGAGAAATGTCTTAAAATGTTTCAGATGCGTTTGTCGGACCTTGGCTGTGACTGGCTTCGGGACAGACAGCGTGCTGGCAGGCGTGCAGTACAAGGGCACACCGAGCGGTATGGGGGGTGTGCCAGACGCGTGTTGCTGCCTGCTGAGAGAGGTGGTCTTTACAGACAAGGTGACGTTTGGTCTGACTACACCGATCTTAGAGGCTGAAAATCAATCCTGGCTAGTCCTGACTGTATTGGTGATTTGCTGTGACCTTGGGAGAGCCGCATGAGCGCTGAACGTTAATTTTTTGTTACCATGAATGTCAAAGCGTAGACCTGGATACTGAGCAGTAAATGTTCCTGCAGCTCTCTAAAAGCAGAAGCCTAACAGCATTAAGAGTTTTGCTAATAATCTGTCCCATTTGGTCACATGCCTCTGCAATAGAGAAGTTCCTTTGATTCAAGATTAGACTTAAGCATGTTTGGGTCATAGTGATCAGGGTTTGTACCTTAAGTCTTCTCTTCCTGGTGCTCCAGAGGATTAGCTGATTTGTTTGAGGTGGATTGTGCAGGGAATCCTTGCTTGACGTCGTCATTCAGTCACTTCTCTGTAGCTTCATGAAATCAGAATCTAAAAGGGTGAGTGGAGAGGGATGGGTGAAGATGTGGGAAAATGAAGGTTGCGGGGAGAGAGAAATGAAAATTGATATGAACAATTAGAAAAACAGCAGCTGAGGGCAGACTAGTTTCTGTATGGAGCTGACCCTGCCCTGGGGCGGAAGGGAAGGTGAGCAGACCTCTGAGGTCCCTTTGAGCTCTGGCTTAGCACAAAAAAGAACCGGTCGCTTCCTGTGTGCTGTTACCGTGCAGCTGTGGTGTCTGCTTTTCCTGTCAAACTCATATCCCTTGCTCCCCTCTGCTGGGAAAATCTTTTCGTAGCACCCTTCTGAGGCTTACCAGTGCTCTTCATTCTTCACAGGAACGCTGACAATGAGACCAGCTCCTCTACGTCAACCAGTGATCAGAGCAGGCATCCTTTTGAGGTAAGTCCTCTCTATCTCTTCCAACACTTTCTGCTTTGCCATTGAATTGAAGTATTTTTCCATTAGTACATTGTTCAAATGTTCCCCGGATTATGACAAAATTTAGGAAAGGAGGTATTAATATCATCCACATGCTGCTCCTGAAATCTCTGCATGTCGTATTTTTACTGCGTATTTTTAATAGGGCCATCACTTGTAGTTTATTCTTGTTGTGAGGGGGCTAAGCTGGGATTTAGTGAGCTGTCTGGGTGTGTTGCTATGCAGTAGCCTCAGCTTAAAAGGAGGCAGTTACATGCAGCAGCTAAAGAGAAACCAGGGAAGTTGCAGTTATTTCTTACCTTCATACGTAGTTGCAGTCTGTGTCTGTTCCTCAGTAAGCTGCCTCTGAGATTGCACTGATCCACCTGTGTCAACCAAGGCTTGTGAGTTGCTGGGGATCTGAAGAGACTAGTCTTTGTTGGAAGACCGGTGAAATTCCAGGCGTGAAAGCTAAAAGCTGTTTCTCTCCTTGTTACAATCTGTTTCCCGAATTCTCTCCCTCCCAGAATGTGGATCAGCACTTATTCACCTTGCCACAGGGCTATGGCCAATTTGCCTTCGGGATCTTTGATGACAGCTTTGAGTTTCCGTTTGGGTCCAACGTGCAGTCGGAAGACAACAGGGACTCTGAGAACCGGAGGGAGCGAGAGCATCAGTCTCGGCATCGATACGGTGCAAGGCAACCCCGAGCCCGTCTCGCCACACGCCGTGCCGCTGGCAGGCACGAGGGAGTTCCCACGCTAGAAGGGTGAGAACAACTGCCAGGTTCTTGTGGAGGAAGATGAGAGTTAGCTGAAAATCAGCCCGTCCCTTATTCTCATCAGTTTAAGGAGCAGTCTCTTGGAGATTGCTCCTGGGCACAGCTGTCCAGTGCGACTCTTCCATAGGTGCCCGGCTTTGCCCCTGTGAACTCACGCTGCTGGATGGTCAGGCTTCCGCTGGGCCTGCAGCTCTTGGCAGCTCTTGCCTTGAGTTTATAGGGGCCATTTCACCTGGGCACAGTGGCAGGGACTACAGTGTGGCTGGGAGTTTTGACCATTAAACTTGCAATGAGAAAGCGTTCCCTGGTCATTACCAAGTGGTGTGCTGAGTGTGAGGGGAAACAAGAGAAAACACTGGACAACAAGACTAATGTTTCTTTAACTGCATCCTGGAGAGCCGCTTGCCATCTTTGTCAGAAGTTATCCCCTTATGAATAAAATATTGACATTTTTATCATTTATTATCATTTATTATTACTGAAATTCTTTATCAATGAATAATCAGTTCCTAAGATGCAATTGCAATTGCTACAGGATATTTTTCCTTTTCCCTATATCGATGCGACAGTATTTAGCCACTCCTTCCATGTCATGTTTCTGGGCTGGGAGTTAGCAGACACTAATTCTTACATAATCCTGGTTTCCTTGTCTTTCAGAATTATCCAGCAGCTGGTCAATGGAATTATTGCACCTACAACAATACCAAACCTAGGACTAGGTCCTTGGTGAGTTGGAAGATGTACTGCTCTTTCTGACAGTGTTCTTGTTCGTACTCCCAGCCGAATTTAATTGTTGTCCTTATTCTTAAAGGGGAGTCTTGCATTCAAATCCAATGGACTACGCATGGGGTGCCAACGGCTTGGATGCAATTATTACACAGGTAAAACCGGCATTATAAAGGAGTCTCCCATCCTCTTGTGCGGTGCTGCAAAATTGCCAGCAGCTGTTGTGATGCAGGGGGGCAAACCACTGAAGGTGCAGAAATGGGAGACAAGGTCCGCAGTGCAGGCGATGCAGGGTTCAAGTGCCCTGGGTCAATAAATGAACAGATTCTGTGTGCTGCTGAGCTCACATCTTCTTTCTGACTTCTGTGGCCTATTGTTTTTTCAGTTACTAAATCAGTTTGAAAACACTGGACCGCCGCCAGCAGACAAAGAAAAAATCCAGGCCCTCCCCACCATACAGATCACACAGGAACACGTAGGTATGTATATCTCCTCCAGGGAATCGTTCACAAAGAGCTCTGTGAAAGTTCTGTTTAACGTTTTTTGGGGATTTTAATTTTGTCTGCTAGTACCTTCAAGGCCTAAAACGTTTCAAAGAGGAGAGAAAACTGAAGTATTGCTCTGTTTTACTCGCAAAAAAAAAAGAGCAGGGTAGACTGGATGAATTTGCCCTGGGGAGGCAAACTGTTCTGAAAAGTTCAATGTGGATAGAGATGAAAAAGCAGAAGGGAAGGGAACAATGAAGCAAACCCAGGGCAGCGAGAGGTGGAGTGGTGGTGGTAGGAACTGCAAAGCAACAAGCTTTCCTCTCCACCCTGCAGGGGTGAAGCAGCAGTGAGGGGAAGGGGAAAAGGTGATGGGATCCTGAGTCGGGTGCTTTGAGTGTCGTTCTCTCCTTTATTGCTTAGCTGTGTTTTTCTTTCCCTTTATGATACAGATTCTGGGTTAGAGTGTCCTGTGTGTAAAGAAGACTATACAGTTGGTGAAAATGTCCGACAGTTACCTTGCAATCACCTATTCCACAACAGCTGTATAGTCCCTTGGCTGGAACAGGTTAGTGCCGTCTGCGTGGGTGACTTGGGTTTTGTAGCACTTGGGTGTTTTTTCTGGTGGTACTACTCTTCTCTGTAAACATTTTCCTACCTCCATGATGAGGCCTAAGCGTGAGCAACCTTTGATCAGAGGAAGGAGTGTCATCCTAGCCTTTTCCTTGAGTGCTGCGCCTGTATCGTGTTTCTAATCCTGTTTCCCATATTTCTTGTTTTGTTTTTGTCTGCTCTCCAAAGCATGACACGTGTCCTGTGTGCCGGAAAAGCTTAAGTGGACAAAACACAGCCACAAACCCCCCAGGACTCACAGGGATGAACTTCTCATCATCCTCCTCCTCCTCTTCCTCCAGCTCACCAAGTAACGAAAACTCATCGAACAACTCATGAATCTTAATCCAACCCTCTGTCCCTGGGGCCCTGTCCATTGTCCTTCCTCCCTCCCCAGCCAACATAAGCAACGAAAGGGGCTTCCAGAGCAGAGCGAGGGGAGGGTGGCAAGGGGGAAGCAGCGCCCCCAGAATTCCCTTTTGAGTTCTGAAGACACGGAGACTCTGGGTCCTTCAGAGATGAGAAGCCTCAAGTTCTGTGATGGGGGGAAAGAGCTCTGTCTATTAATAAAAACATCCATTTGCCGCGTGGACTTTTAACCATTGCAGTGAAAGGCTGCTGCGCTCCACAGATGGGAAACCCGTGGTGCTGAGCTAGCGGTTGCAATTCTGAATGGAAAGGTTGTTTGTATGGTTTTGAATTTGAGATTCCTTTCTTTATTTCTTTTGCTCCTCCTCCTCCCCTTGGATACTATCTCTTCTGCTTTGGAGATTGAAGTCTTTAAAACGAAAGCGTAATGATACTGCCTCCCTCCCAGGATCTCCAGCTGGGGAGGGCCAATAGTTGTCACTGCAAAAATGAACTCTTGAAATAGACCCCATTATCCTTCCCTTCCCCATTTCAAGTCCCATTTATTTTTCTTTATAACCTCGCCCTTCTGATACTCAACACTGAAAGGGTTTTTATAATTTTAAATTATTACTGCTGTTAAATAAATGGACGTTTCAGCTCAACGAGACGTTATGCATGATTTGAGGAAAACTACAGGGTAAGCTCTCCGGAGACTGCTGTGCTGAGCCGTCCCCGTTCACCCCAGGGCAGGCTGGGCTTGTCGAGCCCTCCTGCATGCCGAGCGCCGGCATGCTGCGAGCTCCGGGCACCAGACTCCGACGTGACCAGCACCCGTATGTGCGTTGCCAGCCTGCGGATCGTTGAGCGGTTGGCTGCAGGATTGCAACTGAAAGCATCCTTGCCTGGTCTTTTGTATTTTTTACACCTTCTCCCTGTTGCAGTCCTGCCCTTCTCTCAGCCTGAGCGGACTTTTCCACTGTGTCGACATCAGGACTGGGCGTGCATCAGAGGAAGGACCAGCCAAATATCATTGTGATCGAATAATATACAGGAAAAACAACATTTTGGAGAAAAATGTATTTCAAAGCTACTTAAAATACAGCTGATTAAAAAAGAAGAGAGGGACAAATATCCAGGTGTGTTTGTGACTCAGTTTCTGTGACAGAACTGGAGGTTGGAGAATGAAAAGAATGTGACCGGAGCGGGCAGTGACCTACCTGCTGCCTGTGTCCGTGCTCACCGGGGCCGGGAGGCACAAGAGGGACAAAAACCTGGGTTCACTTGGTGCTCTCCCCGAAGGCCTTCGGTTTTGGTCTGGTCACGCTGAATCTCCAGCGCAGCCCTGCCAGCTCCTGGGCCAGAAGCTGTGCGCTGGGGTAGGCGGTGTCCTCGCAGGAGGGTGCGTGGGGAGAGGGGTGAGGTTTCTGCTCTGCTTGGGCTTTTGCGGCACAGCCCAGTGCAGAGCTGGCAGGAGGAGCAAGGCGGTGGCACGTGGCTCCAAAGCGCTGGCCCGGGTGGTGTGGGACAGATGTCAACTGATGCCTCTTTCTGTTGTAGGGACTTGGGGCAGTCGGTGGGTCTCCCTGACCCGTGTTTGTGACGGCACTGTGCGCTCCAGGCCGCGTGTCGGGACCTTGCTGTGGCAGACGCCAGAGCAGTAGATGGTCCTGTGGGGGCTGCTGGGCAGGAGGGATGGAGGGTTGAGCGGCTTGGGAGGCTCCCTGCGTCTTCGGCTTTTGGGGCCCTATGAGCGGGCCGGGGGTGGCCGGGGAAGGTGCTGGCCTCCCTGGGCGCTCGAGGTCCTGGCACCAGCAGAGCTTTGGTGCCTCTTTCGAAGCAGCCTTACCCGAGGACTTGGCCCTTCCTCCTGAGAGCTTTCGGGGAAGCAACGTGCCTCCCGTAGGAGGGGGAAGGCGGGTCATTTGCTTGGCATTTCTTGAGCCATTTTGGAATAAAAGAAGAGAAGGTTCATTGGAGAAAAAGTCCCAAATGCGGATGGCAAGCAGCCTTTGCCAAGCCTGCCGGGGCCGTGCGGCCGGCGCTGAGCAATTCTCCTGGAATGTTTTTCCTCCTTGGCTTTGCCAGTGCAGCCAGGGCAGCCCAGCGGCGCCTTTCATCTCGGCGGGCGGATGCCTTCGGGACGAGGGTTTATCTCAGGACTGGTATATCAGGGTTAATAGCTCATCCTCCGCCGGAGGTTGAGCCAGAAGCTTCTGCCACCAGGATCCTGGGCTTGGGAGGCGGGTAGCAGCAGGAAGGCACCCCGTTGGCTTTTTCCGTTTGCTTG